GCTTCCACACAGTTGGCAGCTCTTTATTTCCAGCTGATGCACGCCTTTCGTAGAACTTTCATTTTAACACATCACACGATTTGCATGTATTTTCTACGTGATTTGTTAAACTCTGCACCCGGAAAGATACATTATAACCCATTGCATGTACATACACTCGGGTACAATGTAGGCTTTACTTAAATAACAGTGAGTACAGGGACAGTACTCTTTTCACCACTTGCCTTCGATTTTGGGCCATTTTATTTGTACTGTTAATCATTTTTTAGACTTGCTAACTTTTAAGTTCTCAAGCTTTCAATTTTCAAATTTTTTAATTTTCAATTTTCAAATTTTTTAATTTTCAATTTTCAGTTTTTAAGTTTTCAAGTTTCTAATTTTCAAATTTGTATGTTTTCAAGTTCTTAATTTTCAAATTTTTCTGTTTTCAAGTTCTTAATTTTCAAATTTTTCTGTTTTCAAGTTCTCAATTTTCAATTTTTAAGTTTTCACGGTGTTGTGTTTTGAAATTTCTTGTTTTTCACATTTTCTAATTTTCCAATCTATAAAACCTTAAATTCCTAAATTCCTAATTTCCCCAAATTCTCAAATTTCGAATTCCCCAGCTTTCAAATTCCTGAATGATCTGAACTTTCAAATTTTCTAAATAGTCAAATTACTGAAATTCCTAATTTTTCAAATTTTAAAAGTTCCAAAATCTTCCAAATATCCCAATTTTTCAAATTCGCAAATGCACAAATTTTCCAAAATTTCCAAATCCCTAAGTTTCGAGAAAAAACCCAAATCATATATCCCAAAATTCCCAAATAAAGCACCCTTCGTTTCAAGTGCGAAAGTCCCTAAATTAGAAAAGTGAGCAAGTGACAAAACGTGATGTCCCTACATCGTAATTTTCCCTAGAAAAGCCTGCGGTACTCGCCGGTGTACGCTAGTTGTTGCTGCTGCATTAGCTAAAGTAAAACGTAGGTTGGATCAAGAGTTCCTAAAAAGCAACTGCTCGTTACGTTTGATATCCTGTGCCCTAGCAATTTTTACGGATTAACTTTAACGAAGACTTATCCGCACGAATTTAGAGATAAAACTCCAAGCCGAGGTTGGAGTCTCACTGTCGGAGCAGCGATAAAGAATCAAACGAATTATGTTGCTTGATAAAAAAAACTCTTCCCTGTAAATGGAAGGCCTTATTATTGAATCGTCGCTAATAGTATTGTTAGGGATATAAACAACAAAACGAATAACGAACTCAAGGAATTAGTTAATTAATATTTATTGGCGAAAACAAATTAGATAATTTACAATACAAAACGAAACGAAATTGCAAATCAGTATCAAATATAATATTAAGGCAACTCAAAAGCGTATCTTTACTTGTTAATAATAATTTACAACGAAAGTAACGAATTGTATCGAGGAGCGCACGAAAAGGACTGAGCGAAAGGACGGTCGTCGAAAGAAAGAATGCTCGCAATAGATAAGCCGTAGCGGCCCGAGCCCCGCGCTATCACGTGGCCCTTCCCCCACTCCGGCCTATACAATTGCGAATACCTGGCGGCTTTGCTCTTAGGACCAGCCTGAACGTCTCGGAAAAATTACCAATGCAATTTTTCCGTCCGCGGACCCTCGCCAGATGCAAAGCATCGTCGAAATCGGGGTCGATGGAGGCCTCAGGGGTCCGTCGAAAAACGTCCCCCCTAGCCACGGCCTGAACGGCCCCAGGTTCGCAAAAGCGTCCCTGTGCACGCAAAGAGATCACCGTCCAGGTAGCCAATTAAACGCGAATTTACCAATATTCTGCCTTTCTCTCAAGTTTTTCACTCGCTCCTTTACATGGCTTTTGAACTTAATAATATGCAAAATGTGCACAAATGCATAATAAACTGAAATTGCCATTTTATTTTCGACAAATAGTTAAATAACGTGAAACTAAGAAATAATTTAAATGCTTAAACCAAACTTAGAATTTTTGCATTTCTGCACTCAACAAATATACATAAACTAATCAATTTTTTCCTGATATACTAATAAATTTTATTCTACGTCAACCCTTATCCTCTTAGACACGGCTGAAGTTTACGCTGCTTCTTAGTACGGCAGAGTTCGACATAAACAGCACTACAATGTGTGACAATTCTGTTCTCTTATTAAATTATAATTTTTCAAAGATGTATATTTTAACTTTGACAATTTACTGTTTCAGAAAATTCAGGAAATATGTAATTTCCAAATGTTTCCAATATTAGTGCAAAGAGGTCCTGTAATGCCTAAACTTACTAATAATGACATTATCTTTAATTTACATGTAATGTACTTTTGTGGGATTAAAACATATAGAAAGGATCATTCAATTGAAACGGTGGCAAATGAGTCACTATAACGACACTATTTAATTTATAGTGTCATTTGCGAAACTATAGTGCGAAAGCCACTATAGTGGCGCGTCACGTTATATTTTATTGAATGTTTCATGTAACTTCGTAACCACAGTAAAGATGCCTTTTATACTTTTAATGTAATATCTTTCAAGTGCCGCCTCTTTTGAAATAAATTCTCCTTCATATCTCTATCTCGTTCACTGAGTAATTATGTCAGAAAATGTTTTATAACGTCGTTGAAATTTAAATGCATTATGTGTTTGAATAATTCAAAGAGAGAGAATTAAGTGAAACGTTTCGTAGGAAATATGTGTATTGTGCTAGGTGATAAGTATAAAATTCAACTCGTTTATTATCATTTCAAATAGAAATCTTAGAGTGTGCATTATTGAAATTACGTAGAAATTGACTGTTCATACGTTTGACGCATTCGATGCTTTAAATTTTATGTATTATAATATAGAATGATTAATAAAGTATAAAAAAGAAAATTTTATATACTGACGTGTTGTATTAGTAATGTGAGATGCTAATCTACAAATGAATGATACATTTAATAATAAATTGAGAATTTAATGTTTCACTACGTACAAAAATATTCACTAAATTTTCAATTTCATAATGCGCATGTTGATTTCTGTGGTGACAGTAAAATATGTGGCGGTCAAGTATCTGGCGGTCAAGTATTTGGCGGTCAAGTATATGGCGGTCAAGTATATGGCGGTCAAGTATATGGCGGTCAAATATGTGACGGTCAAGTATCTGGCGGTCAAATCTGTAGTAGTCAATTGCATAGCGGTCAAATATGTAGTAATCAACGCATTGACTTAAAAATAACAACAAACCATTTTTGAACATATAATTATTTAAAGACACACACATTTGAGAATATAGAGACTTTCTAAAACATTCTAATTGGGAAATATAGCAGTTTGAAACACAGCCCTCTCAAAATAGAAATTTGAAAACAAATTGCAGAGTAAAACATTGGGAGTGCAGAAATTTAAGAATATAAGCATTAAAAAATACAAAAATTGACCAACATATTAATTCGAAATACTTGAATGCAAAAATATAAAAGTGTAACAAAATAAAAATTTTCCTTTTATTCTAATAGAAACAATAAAATTGACATAGGACTTTAAGAAAATACCTTAAAAAATTTGCTCAAGCCTCCACTCAACAATGATTATGTTACTTTATCATGCAGCGGGGCGTGTCACGTGCGTAACAAACGTTTCGAATGGAAAAACTTAAGCGAAACATTCTTTGGACGATTTAAAAACAGATACGAACACCTTGCACAAAAGCGGACGGTTTCATTTAATCCCCCTTTTCATCTTTCGTATCGAACAAAACGATAGAAACCTCAGAGGTTTAGGTAGCATCTATTCAAAGGCACCCTTGCTGATTTTCCAATAAAATTCGGGGCCGAGCAAAAAGGGACAAGCTCGATTTACTTCCAGCTCAATATGTCGCTCAGGGACGTCACAGGATATCAAGCTAGATCGACTTTTTTTTTCTTCTCTAGCAATGTGCTTTTCGCACACCGCCAATTTAAACGTCCCTACCCAATTAATCTTTCTTTCTGTAGGGAGTCCACCACTTTTACGCAAGTTTTCGTCCCCCGCTAACAGATTTACGATGTTCGATACGCGTCGAAAGGAGCTCTTTTAATCCCATTTGCTTGTTGCGTTTAATTCGCTCTTTCGTTGTATTCGAATTCGATGGATTAAAATATGCAGAATGTTTTGTAGAGTTTCGCGGTCGGTTTAATTAATTACTGGGCCGACGCACCGTAGAAATCATTTGCATAATAAATTATTTATTAACGGAGTTGGACACTTTTTTAATAATCTGCAAATTTAGATTTTTAATGAAAGGATATGCGAGAAGAAATTATTCATTTTTAGACGAGCAGCAATTTGATTTTCAAATTAAAGTGAAGAGCGAAAATGATGTTAAGAAATGAAAATGTATTAAGGAAAATATAATAAAGTACAGTTAGAAGACACGATAAAAATTGTACAAAAAATAAATAATGAGGCAGTACAAATAAATAATGAAATTATTATAAAATAGTTCTAATAGTGAACATTTAATTTTGTTAGTCAAATAAAAAAATTATTCAGAATTCAAAATTGATGACTTGTTTGAAATAATTTATTCAAAATGTTCGAACATAGTTTCATCAAAAGAGAAATTGTTTGTCATTCCACAATATTTTCGTTTTATTTTAAATCTACATCTGAAGATTACTCAAATAACAATCAGCTATGATAATTGAAATCATACAAATTTCAAAAGCCATTGAATAACATTAAAACAATTAATTATGATTGATTTTTTCAACTCCACGTATGTATTAATATGTAAATTGATGAAATTGAAATAAAAGTAAATTGATATGTTATCTTAGAACTCATCATAATATGATTTATGTTCTTTACAAATAAATGCGAAGATAACAAATATTGCAAAGTCAACGTCTATCATGTAACGTTAATAAAATAGAAAGCTTCTGACATTGCGAAACTCCTCGAAAACTGGAAAAGTGGTGGAAATAGAAAACTTGTAAAGGAGTAGTATGTTGGATCAATATCTGATCTGAAGAAATCCGTTTCATAGATGCAAAACGAGCTCGGAGCAAGGGTCACAACGGCCTGTCTTCAACTTCATGGCCAAAATGGAGACGACGAGTACGTGTTACCACCAGGGGCGGAAATAGGAACACCCATGTTTGAATTGTATCTGGCTTTGCAAGATTTCGTCACGTAAGTATTATTCGAATTTTCGTAAAAGAACTTTTTCATATTTTATCATTTATACAAATTTCTCTATTTTGTAATTTTTAACGAGGAAGTCTTGTCTTTCTTAAAATTTCTGATTTTACAGATAGAAAATTTATAGTAACTGTGAATTTTGTCTCTTTTAGTAACAATTTTTAATTCTGTTCGATAATTTTTGTAGCACTTATTACAGTCTCTACATTTCGACATTTTGTTTTAGGTTTAGTACCATATTACAAATACTTGTGAGATATATTTTGTGTAAAATGATTATTGTAAAATTGCAAGCTTTTAGGAATAAATGTAGAGTACATCATTTTTGAAGGTATAGAACAAAAATTTTAAAAATTCATGCAATTTATTATACAACATGCATCTAATTATTATGAAAAAAAGACAGCATCCTAAAGGAAAATTTAAAAACATTACAAAATAGAAGTTCTCTCTTTAGAAATAATTATTCTACAAGCGATTAATTATTTAAAATTAAAAATCTTGCTATAATTCAGTTACATGTATATTTAATTAGTTTAGAATACGTATGCACATTATTTTCATAAAATCTTGTTTCGAATGATGTCAGCTACCCCCCATTTCAGGGACCTACACTATTTGTAAGACACACTGTATATACAATTTTCTTACTCGCTTATTTATGTATATACAATATTTTTAAGAGAGTGTAACATTTATTCTTCTAACATTTACTAAGCGATTAATAATTCTTTTTAGTACATTAAAAACATCATTGCAAAGAATAACGTATTTGAAGTTCGTTGAATTGAATAAAGAAACGAGCAGAAACCTAGCATTACCAAAGTTCGGCAATAAAGCAATCATAACTGAGGAACGGACGCAATATTTTTTAGCATGAAGGAGAACCTGCCGCAGTCAGATCATAAAACTTTGGAGATTTGCAAATATTACGAGTGGTTCCGACCAGCTGTCGACAAATGGTTGGATCTTGCGAAACTAAAAGCGATTCAACGCGTAAGAAAATCGGCGGAGCTGGATCGAATATGCACCGGTGAATACATAGTGAAACATTGTACTTCCGCCATTGATGTCACGGCATGCTTCTATCAGGTAGCGTATACAAAATATTTATTTGTATAAGGTGAAGTGGCGTAAGTGCAGACTGGTTTTTGTAAAGTTGGTATTTGAACGTAAGTATTTTCAGTCTGCTATGTAAATACTTAACGCTGTCGATATCGAACGCTTTGCACAATTACTACTATTTAATTAATATTAACTAGGACCTTAATTTTCCTTGTACATTTTGATTTTGATAGGAAATTGTTTAAAATGTCAACTACTCTGCACTTTCCCCGAAAATGGGCTAAGAGCGTAACTTGAAGTTAAATACTTTGAAACTTTATTTCATGTGCAATTGGGCAAGAGCAGAATTATTAAGAAATCTGCTATAAAATGCTTTTTACTGCATTATGCAAGTACTCTATACTGCAAACAAGTACTCTTAGCTGAAATATAAAAGGGGATATAGTGAAACAAAACAAGGAAACAAACATACTACATGGAGAAATTTCGCTCATATTGTAATAAAAATAGCCTGTATACACACTTACCCCACTTCACCGTACTATAATCAATATGATCAATATAATATATGATCAATATAATATATGATCAATATAATCATTAATTATTCCATTTGAAAGAATGATTCAAAAACTAATATTAATTACATAAAATACGTATAACATTATTTGCAGATTAAGGAATTTTGGAAGAAACTAGCGTGGCCCGACCTGCCTGGATCGTACAATTTGGTCCTGAAAGTCGTCGATGTGAGTAATTATTCAATACACTTAATTTATTATCAAAACAGATTTGAAATTTATATTTTCGTTACGAGTATTTAATATGTACGAGGTTTAGGAAATTAATTATTTAATAGGTTAAGAATTTGAAAATTCTTAATACTAATCTGAATGTTTTAGGTCATCGATTTCTCGGTAAAAAAACTTGTACAATTGATATTATTTTTAATAAGTCATTTAGATGCCTCAAAATGTTCAATAGGTATTAACTCTTGGATGTTGTATGTATAGTATTTTCAAAATGAAGTCTCAGGAGTATGAAAACTTGATAGTTTAAATTTATAAAAATTTGATTGTTTAGAAAGTTATAGTTCATATTTATAGTTCAATATAAAGAGTTCTTCAATATAAATTATAATATATACTCTAATTATTATAGTAAAGTTATAGTATACATAAATGACAGTATGTATTCTATTATTTTTTTGTATATAATTCTATACATATATGGTACAGTACACATTCAGTATATATTTTAGTAATTATATTGTAGTATAATAACTTTATAGTATACAATTATATGTATACTAAAGTTGTAATATAGAATTGTACAGTTCTAGTACATAATTATATACTCTAAAAGTATAAAGCCTAGTATATAATTATGTACTAATATACATATGTGGTATACGATATAATTTAGTATATGTATATACATTGTATATGTATATTTAGTATACTAGACTTTATGCTTTTATACTGCATATAAAATTATAGTATAGAATTATTCAGTCAAATAGTTTCAATATACATAATTTTAATATCAATACAATCCATATAATCATTATACTCAATACAATTCATATAATCAATTAATACCGTCATCAAAAATTGATGAGTTCTACTGACAGTTTTCCAACTTGAACTAAAATGATTTTTTAAATGTAAAATTTAAAATTGACAATTCGTAATTTGCAATATACTCGAGTATCATATTAACATTACAGGCGATATGCAGTTCAGCAGCTTACTATGCAGAAATTACGCACCAGAAATTAGCTGACAGTGGATATTACGAGGAACAAACGCCTTATAAGACAACAGACGAGGTAATCGCTCAGGTAGAGACCGCTTCGCATTAGTTTGACACGACACTGCTTCGCAAATTAGTTGTAGCGAAATCGAAATATGCATTTTATAAAAAAACAAAATAAATAAACTTTATTCTTTCCGAAATTCGCTTGAACGCTGCACCCTGCTTGGCGAAACTTGCAGCGCAGTATTAGAGTTAGAAAGCTGCTTAAATATCTATTAGTACATTTCTGTACTGCACGTACAAATTAATATTATTATTATTCAATATATAATTCTTATTGAAATGTTCGTTAATATTTAAATACATATTTATTACTATTATTTTATTTATATATTTATTACTAAATACGTGTATTATTATTATTCAAATATGAATTTTTCATTATATATATTCATTATTATTATTTAAACATACATTTATTATTAAAGATATTCGTTATTATTAAAATTTCTAAAAATATGATTATTAAAATATATTTTTATTATCAAATATGTATCTACTTGAAGATATATTCATTACTATAATATTAAACATTTATTTTAAAAAATGTAAAAATAGTTACAATCGTTTCTTTTTATAGACAAAGTAACTTTAATTTAAAATTATTTTTTTAAACTTATGAAGTTTAATATAACATACTACATTAAAATTGGCATAGTATTAATCTCTAACTTTATATACAACTTACTTAAAATTATGTAATAATAGGTTACTCTAATTGTTATAAACAGTTCCCATAATTATTTATCGTTTCATATGAAACAAATAATATAAACAAAGAATAGTATTAAACAAGTAACAAAATAATCAAGTTGTCCATAAAGTATCTTCTTTAGCAAGAGAGATCGATTTCCAACAATCTAACTGCGTCAAATCTCGTTCGATTAACGACATTATGATCTCGAACAATTCCACAGATGTGTGTGGCTATTAATGGGCTGGAATATGTGCGAAGATGGCTTCTGGATTTAGGGGAGGAATTGCACGTTGAAAAGCTTTTGACAGCTTTGGAATGTCAGGCTGGTGATTCTGCTCGTATGCAGTGGAGAACCGCTTTGACGTCACCGTTAGAACAAACCCCTGGACAAATGTTGCTCTTCATTAATCAGATTGTTTCGAGAATTGGTACCAAGGTTGGTAACATTCGGAAATATATATTATTTATCGCAAAATTTTAGTAAAACGATTATGAATTAATTATGAGGTTTAGTTACAAGATAATTCCATTTTATATGTACATAAAAATAATGACAGTTTTCGGTAAATTATCGTGACTTCAATAAATTATACTAATTTTATATAATTTTGAAAATTATGGAGTTGTAACAATGTTACATGTAATGGAGGAAAAAAAGCTAAATCCGCAAAACTCCAAATCTTCAAATTCCCACTATATCTTTCACCCATTATTTATTTACCCTGCCACTTCATTTTTCCATTCAAAAATAAACGTAAATCAAATACCGTTTCCAATGTTAATAATATTACATAAATTTGAATCGCAGATGAGACCACCACTGAAGAAGGCAATGTTTCATCTAGCTTGGTCACCGGATAGTTTGCCTACTTCTGAAGCAATCGCACCATTGTTGGAATATTTGGATGTTCATTTAGTGGCGTTAAATTCAGCTCTGCTTGCGGTCAACTTTAATCGAGTGCTTCAAGATATTTGGGAAGTGGTACTTGGAGAACTTAGCAACCAGATGGATGGCAACGCGGGTGTAAGTAAACTGAAACATTAATTTCAAATATCATACACAAAGTATGAAACAATTATATATTTAACACTATTACGAAAATTTATATTTGGAAACAGTTCTCTCGATGTATGCAAAATATTAAACTATATTCTATTTATTTTTTTTCTTTGTTAAACGATATTTTTATATTATTTTATATTATTTTTATATTACAATTGAATTAATAAAACTAGTAAATTGACCATACAATTAAGTCAATATTAAATTGCTCCTACAATTGAATTAGCATTCAATGTAGTGTCAATCAAATGTAATAAACAAATTGTCTTGACATGATTAAATAAAAATTCTGTAATTGTAAAATATTGCATGTAAATGTGTTTCTACCTGTTTTAGGATAAACCAGCAATGTTTTATGAAAGGCTTCACGAGGCACTGGATTTGTTGATCAAATTCTTCCACGCAGACGAAAAGGGTTTACCATACGACACGCTTCACTGTCAAAGCTTTTTGAACGTCGAAGAACGACTGCAGTACCATAAAATGGACACGACGTTCTTGATCGATCGATTTTATCGACAACGACTTCAGGTTTTCATTAAAAATCAATATCTGTCTTATAGTTTCTCAATTGTCAAGTATATAAGTCCTTTAATTAAATATTTTTGCGTTTTGATAAATACTAAAATAATTCAGCTAACTTTTTATTGTCAAATAACTTGTGATTATTGTCATTATTATTATCATTATTTCAGTTATAATGCATTGGAACTGTAGTTGAAATTATAATACTTAAAAATTTACTTAATTTACGGAGAATAGTAATTTTCTGTTTGATATAATAGTTACGATACATGTTGATGTGAAATTGTAACACGAAACTTTTTGCAGGACCAATTGAACACCGTGGCTTCCGAGTACGGTGTATTAACAGTGAGAGCGTACCTAAATCACGACTCTCTGTGCGTTGAAGTTATAAATGCCAGGGACGTGATACCATTAGATCCGAATGGTTTCAGTGATCCATTCGTCATCATCGAATTGTTGCCACGAAGAGTGTTCGAACACTGCGCCGAGCAGCGGACCAATGTGAAGAAGAAAACTCTGAATCCTATGTTCGACGAGTGTTTCGAATTGTTAGTAACAAGTCTAACATAAGACCGTTCTTTTCATTAACTAGTCATTAAATAGTTTTCATTAACATCTTCTAGTAAAAAATCATCAACTCATCTGTCATAAAATGACTATCAAGCTCTTGCAATAATTCACTAAATGTTGATGTAATCAAAATGTCAATAGAACCATTTAGAATTTTGTGTAAACTCATTTTTCATAAAATGACTATCAAGTTCTTGCAATAATTCATTTCATTGTTGATATTGCAATTAAAATGTTAAAACTATTTAGAATTATATATAAATCTTTCATAATATGATTATTCAGGTCTTGTTAAAATTCAACAAGTGTGGTTGATGTTATCAAGCTGCTACAATTTCATATTTGTAATAGTAGAATCAACTTATTAATGTTAAATAACTGAACATCACTGTTCTTATTGATCTTAAATAGCTGATCACCACAGTTCTATTTACTGATTTCAGTAGCTGATCACCACTGTTCTATTTACTGATTTCAAGTAGCTGATCACCACTGTTCTATTTACTGACTTTAAATAGCTGATCACCACTGTTCATATTGATCTTAATAGCTGATCCACAACTATGTTTCAAGAACCTATCTGATCTGTAATCAGATGTAACATCACTCTTTCTATTTACAATTAGAGCAACCCTTTGCAAATATTTAAAAGTATGAAACACTGTGACCACATGTGTATAAACAGAAGTTTACTATACATATATTCACTATAATTTCTTCTGTTCATATGTATCATGTTACATCTGTATATGTAGCATGTTCATGTGTATCTTGTTCATATGTATCTTGTTCATACGTATCATGTTCATACGTATCATGTTCATACGTATCTTCTTCATACGTATCTTGTTCATACGTATCTTCTTCATACGTATCTTGTTCATACGTATCTTCTTCATACGTATCTTGTTCATACGTATCTTCTTCATACGTATCTTGTTCATACGTATATTGTTCATACGTATCTTGTTCACACGTATCTTGTTCACACGTATCTTCTTCATACGTATCTTGTTCATATGTATCTTGTTCATATGTATCATGTTCATATGTATCATGTATTCTGTTATAATGTACGGAAAATTTACTCGTAAAAATTACAAATGATGATACATATTAAATTCTGTTTGTAGCTCGGTGAACGTCGAGCAATGCCGGAGTCCTGACGCCATGGTGCTTTTTACGGTAATGGACCGAGATGTCCTTACGGCGGATGACTTCGCTGGCGAAGCATTCTTGGGTTTAAGCACCATACCCGGTGTGGCAGACACAAATGCAAGCATAGACAATTTCCATGGCCTCAAACACACCGAGCTGCCTCTTATGCAGCAAAAGAATCGAAGTACGTATAACTAAGCGATATCTCCCTCCATTCATTTCTCTTCAATGGAAGAAGAAATGAGTTTATGGAACGTGAAATGATTTGAATAATGTATACTGTTACGAGGAAAAAAATATATACAGTTATCTTCTTCTCGGAAAGGGAGGAAGCGGTAATTAAATTTGTGGGAAACTTTGTTATAATACGATTTTTCTGCCGGTGAAATGGTGTTCAGTAAATGCATTTTGAGAAAATCTTGTTATACCATAATGCAAGTACAGTGAAACTTCTGGATTTAATAGATTACGGGATGTTGCAGCTTTTTATTGACTTAAAATAATAAAATAGAGATTGACTGACCAACTTTATTTTATTGCAATAATTGTCAAAATAGTTTTAATATAATAATATATTACTACATTTGTAGCTTTAATACTGTCATATTATTAGACTGTAATTAATAATAGTATTAAATAGTATTATCTTTTGAAAATTCTAAGTTGTTATAATAATAACAGTACATGTTAATAATAAATAATAAGTTGTTATAATAATAACGAAGTTCCCAAATCAAAGATGAAAGTATTAACAATGCAATTAAATTTTTATATCAATTATACTATAATGTAAGAAATTCTGTCATTATACAGCAGCATATATCAAATTTCAGTAAAAATTGCTTTTTAACAAAATTTTATATAACGCCTTTTGTACTATTGTCTTCAACTGTTATTTAAATTAAATTAAATTGTAATTCTAACATAAATAAATGATTGAAATATGTAATTTAATGACAGTGACCAACTGTATCCAGCATGAATTTTGTTTTTATTCCCAGATCACCCGATTCTTCAAATTCTGGAGACGAGAGTCGGCGACAAAGTGGCCCTCGATTTCGTGAAGAAGCAAAAACAACGATTCGCATCGACGTAAAACGGGTCCACGACCAGCAGAGCACCGCGGAAATAAATCAGCTTTGTTCGTGATACATTAACACCGTGTTGACTCTCTTCATCGATAAATACAAACGAAACGAAGCAGATAAAAAGATTTAATCCGCGGAGAGCTCGTCGACTCTGTTCCGCGTTCGTCCTGAAATTCGCCAGACCTTTCTCAGTGTAAATCGTGTTGAATATAATCGGTGTTGGTAACTAAGGAAATTAACTAAGGAAAGTCAGCAAGCGGGAATATTTATTAAACAGTACAGAATCGTGAAGCGTTTAACTGAGGAAAAAGAACGTTGCCTTGCATTAATATTCGAACACCACGATATTTAGATTCGCGTATTGATGTACTCAAAATGATGTTCTAATTTTATCATCGTTACATTTGTTTTAAATAATATAAATATAAATTTTGTTCATTCAATGTGGATAACTTTGTCACGAATCTTTTGTTAACGGAGCATTAAAAATTAATAACTGAAAAGAAGATCAAATAAAATATATGAAGTGATATAAATTTAATAAAGTATTAAGTAATAGGATACTTAATAAATAAATACTGAAAATAATTAATTTTTGTAGCAAACGAAATTAAATAAAATATACCATGTGAATTAAATTTAATAAATTGTACTCAAAAATTTGTTTGAAGCAACAATTTTGCAATAAACCGAATATGAAATGAAGTAAATTAAAAAAATTGTTATCTAAATATTTTCTTTTCAAACAAAACATCACAATTGCACGTTTTACTCAATTACTTTATTCATTACGCAAAAAAGTAATCCATGTTAAATAAATAAAATTCATATTTCTATAATTTAAAATAAATAATTTACCGTACGCAAGAACAACATGTGTAACATGATTGTAAACGAACACAAGCTTAAATATCATGTTGCTCGAATATTAATGTAAGTCATTATGTACTCAGAACTATTTTTGTGTGAACAAAAATCACGAGGAGAACAGAAGAAACAAAAATAAAGAAAATGGTTTAAATCTGTCAGCGTGATGTATCTAAGGATAAATGTTTAAAAAAAAACTATCGTCGAGACCGTCGAAACTCGAAGCAATGCTAAACGGCCATGACACCGGAAGTCTTCTCGCAAAATTTTTTCTCAAAATGGCGCACGAAGATCGTTTAAACGTCCGATTGCAACCAAATGAAAATAGTTACTATTCCACCAAAGAAATATAAAATACACATATACATATGCACATGCATGTAAAAAATGGAGAGAGTACATGAAAGGTGACTCGTGCAGTCAAGTAGAAAGATACTTTTGCATGAGAAAATAAGTTGAAAGTAGAGAAGAAAATTTGTTACATATTATATAAATTATTAAACTCTGTTGTTAATATTACTTGCATGAGTAGTTAAAAATAAGTATTTTGTTAATTACTATATTCTATTTTATTTGTGGTGTTTTAATTTAGAATAATTTTTGTACAAATGTTTCTGAAGAATTGTAAGATAATTCTCTTATTCTAATTTTTGAGATAGTAAAAAATTGTGTTGTTTAGTTTATAGTTGTTTTCTGATGTGAAAGTAAGAGTCTGTACTGTACAATATATTGCATTACACCGTGTATACGAGATTCATCGCCGATTCGCATCGCTTCGACGACCACAGATCAATTCCAGAGAGTCGATATACGATATTTTTCTTACTCGTCATTGGCTAAAGTCTCTTTCTATCTTTCCGACAAAGCGTTTCCCAATTTTCTGACCACACAACGATACTTTCTTCTTGTCTCGATCCTATTTCGCAGTTTGCACGACGGATTTCGATCGACCTTTACTAAAAAGGAGTCCATCGAAACGGCATACAAAAGATATGAAATCAAAGATACAGAAAAATGAGTTCGTAGATGAACGACGTTATCGTTCGTTTTGTTTGCATGCGTCGGAGAATGAAAATTAATCGAATTACGTAATTTAAAAATGTAAAGGTGATGAAAGTATCCCCTGGTGTTTCTGGGGATTCGGTGTGTTTAATTTCTTGCTCGTACAATCTGAATCGTTCTAGAGCTTTAATCGATCTCTCGACACGTAGCGATCGAATCAATTTCAAGAAAGTGGACGAGTAGCAAAGAACGCGTCGATAAACTGAATAATCGAAAGAGATTGTGTGTGTTGTTTTTTTGGTGTGGATTTTGAGGAGGGATGGGATCTAAGTACATTGCATTCTGATTTCATTCTAACTGCATAATTTTATTAATTCGGTACTTTGATAAACTTGAAAGCTCAATAATCAAAAAGATTAAATGTATTTATTTATAGGTAAGTTTGAAAATGAATACTTGTACAAACTTTTATTAGGGATATTATTAAAGAGTTTGAAGTTAAAGAAATTTCTGAACTGGGAATTTGAAAATTTTTAATTTTGAGGATAAAGAATTGAGTAAGCTGGGGAGTTGGAGATTTGGGAGATCGAGAATGTGGAAATTTGAATATGTGGAAAAGTTTGAAAAACTTTGAAATATGGAGTTTTTTAAATTTGGGGATATAGGGATTTGAATTAATCTGGCGAGTAATCTGAAAATAGGTTTGAAATTTTTGTAATTTGAAAATTCTCAAATTCTTGAGAGTTTGATTTTTAAGATCTCAAATTTCCAGGTCCTCAATTTCACAAATATCCAAATTTCCAGATTCTCAAGTTTTGAAATTGCCAAATCCCTAAATTCTCCAATTTTCAAATTCCCAAATCCTAAAATCCACGAATCCTAAAATCCACAAATCCTAAAATCCACAAATCCTAAGATCCACAAATCCTAAGATCCACAAATCCTAAGATCCACAAATCCTAAAATCCACAAATCCTAAAATCCACAAATCCTAAAATCCACAAATCCTAAAATCCACCAATCCTAAAATCCACAAATCCTAAAATCCACAAATCCTCAAGTCCTAAAATCTACAAATCACAAAATCTCCAAATCCCAAAATCCCCATATCCCAAAATCACAAAATCCCCAAATCCAAAATTCCAGATCTCAAAACCCTCCCTCAATGAAATTCTATTCTCCCTCAACAATATTTCACTTAACCCCATCTCTAAAAAACCATAACACCTTACAACCACTCGAATCCCACAAAACAAAACTTTTAAACCGAACACATGAATGCATAATGAACTCGATCCCATTTCTAATCAAAAAGTCCTAAATTAGTATGATAGATAAGAATTGCAAGCAGAGATGTGATTGGCTTCAATCAACATTGGCGACCAAAGTAAAGAACGAAATCTATGAATGAATGACAAAACGCACACTCGTCAATTTTTCTATTGCACCCGGTATTCACACGCGTCTCATTTGCGTCTACAAAGTATACACATACGTACACACATCTACACGGACGTACACGTTGGAAGGAATGTTAAAAGCGCAAGCAGTTTGGCGATAATCGACAAACACACCTTTGTATTTCACCCGCCTTCGAAAATGAATATTATGTTACAAAAAAAAAAGATAATGAAAATAACAACGTGAAAGTGAATAGAAAAGAAAACGAAGAGAACAAAAGAAACGATCTCTTGAAATGTCGTCTGTCCGATCCTCGATATATCTCGTGCATCGAATCCAATCGAACTCTATTTGCTTTTTTCAACCTTTTACAATCACCAGAAACGTATGTACGATTTGTCTTGTATCGTAAGACGAATAAATTAATATAAATGTATGAAATACGTTCATGGTTATTCGATAATTGTTCTTATTAATTCCTTTAATTTTCTCATTTTTGGGATTTGTTAATCTTGAGAGGTTGGAATAATTTAACACTTTTTTAATTCTACTATTTTTCTTAATTTTAAATCTCTTCAAATCTTTATATTTGCAATTTCTATGTTTTCAGTGATTTGTATTTCTAAATCTTTATGTTACTCAATTTTCATGTCTTTAATAGTATATTCTGAAATTTCTGAAAATTATATTTCTTATATTAACATATTCTTAAATTGTTGTATTTCTAAACATCCATATCGCCAAACATCCAAATGCCCAAACGGTGCCACTTTTTTTTAATAATTTCCCAATTTCATGGCATCTACATATTGGAAAACGTCACAAAAAAGTAAACCTGAAATTTAATATTCAAAAATTGAAAAAAAAAAATGCATTTTGCAATCCACAAAATATTTACTTAAAATTTAAATGCATTTCCATCATATGTGTGGTCCTCTAACGGTAGAAGATGGGAACTAATTAAACTACAGATCCAAATGTGTACACTTCATCCTGATCACCAAGGAGATGGCGCCACCTGTTGCATTCTCGAAAAAATTCAATCAATACTGATTTTATTGATCTAATTAACTTTATTATGCATCAAATTACATTAGAGTGAGAGACTAATTATTTTTCAAACGTTTTGACTTTACCAAACTTATAATAAAATTACTTTATCCATGCGCATTTAATGCACGATTTTTGGAAGTCCGTATGATGCATTTAGCAAGCGCACATAGCTTCAATCCAAAACATTTTCGAAAAAGAAAATAATAATAAAATAAAATTATAATTTAACATTAAATCGTAGCTCTTAGCTCGATATCGTTTTCTAAAGTTCATTTCGTGAAAAATATTTAGAAAACGACATCGATTACCGAGTCACACCACGTGGAGGTGGCTACGATAGTGACCCACCCTAACTCCGAATCCCTTCCTCCCTCCAAACGCAACCTCATTTATCAGAAGGATAAATGAGTTCTAACTCTACATAGCTCATAGGCTCGCATATACAAGTTCTTTACCACAATCCAGTAAAGAGCTTGTATCACACACACACACGCACATACATTAACTTAATACTAATTGCATAGGATCCCACGCATACGCTTAACTTATTCTAAACGCCGCACGGTACCTCTCATTCCAAGATTGCACTCAAATAATCTATGACGAAGTAAAAAAGCAAAGGGGCAAAAAAGAAAGTTAGAAGAACTTTCTACTAAAAGAGAAGAAAGTTAGAAGAACTTTCTACTAAAAGAGAAGAAAGTTAGAAGAACTTTCTACTAAAAGAGAAGAAAGTTAGAAGAACTTTCTACTAAAAGAGAAGAAAGTTAGAAGAACTTTCTACTAAAAGAGAAGAAAGTTAGAAGAACTTTCTACTAAAAGAGAAGAAAGTTAGAAGAACTTTCTACTAAAAGAGAAGAAAGTTAGAAGAACTTTCTACTAAAAGAGAAGAAAGTTAGAAGAACTTTCTACTAAAAGAGAAGAAAGTTAGAAGAACTTTCTACTAAAAGAGAAGAAAGTTAGAAGAACTTTCTACTAAAAGAGAAGAAAGTTAGAAGAACTTTCTACTAAAAGAAAAGAAAGTTAGAAGAACTTTCTGTGAAAAA